CTCTGTAAGTGTCTTTATGATCGTAGGGGTCTTCATATTCATATTCACTATTGTAATTGTTTTGTTCACTGCGATCATGTTTATATTGTTTCCTGGTATCATTATATTTCCTCCCCCTTTCATCGTATTCCTCRTTGTACATCCTGTCATAATGATCTCTGTCCCTGTATTTGTCACTATATTCATACTCTTCCAAGTCTCTGCGGCGTCTACGATCGTGGCGTTCAGATTCCTGTTCATTTTCTCTATCCCAGTCATGTCTTCTTCTCCTTTCCTTGTCCAGTGTACCATAACCCTCCTGAGTATTGACGTCATTTTCTCTTTCTTGTGGCACTCTGTTGGAATCATCAGGTCCTTGGTAAAAACAATGTTTCCCCTTCCATTCAGAAATCCTCAAGTCCAGGTGACCATCCTCTGAACGAGGGTGGAAGTAAACATTTTGACCAGGATTTCTTGTGTCTCTATAAGCTGCCTTCTGTTGGTCATCCTGCTCCCAGTTTTGTTGTTGGATGACATGATCCGGTCGAACTTGGACCTGGTTGTTCCATTGTACTGGCCATTGAGTTGACACATGTCCTGGAGGTGGAACAGGACCACCTACATGCACCATCATGGCACCAGGAACTGGCATAGGGCAGGCTGGAACTGGACTTGGTACTAGAACAGGTCCCTGTGGCTGTCCAGGAGGAACACCTCCATATCCTGGATATCCAACCTGTTGCTGCTGAAGCTGCAGTTGATGTAGTTGCTGTAACTGTTGCAGATGGACCATCCTCTCTCTTTCTCTGGCCCATCCTGCATCCCCCAGCTCCTCCACGCTCTTCCCTCTCCTCAGAGGAACACCAGCCGCTTGATTCCAATTCACTGGACTAAACATGACTGGGTTGCCATAAACCACTGGGCTCTTCATGGTTCTTTCTGTTTAAATCAGCCTACCTGGGGCTGATGTTCTCCTCTTCAATGCGGCTTATTCTCCCTGTCCAGTGTCCTGCATTCCATAACGAAGCGCTGTGGGCGACGCCGCCTGCCAGGCATATTGTCTGTAACTCTTCCACTTGTTTTTCCTGTCTCCTCTTCAGTTGCCTCTGCAGGACTGCCTGGCCCAAGCACCTCCCAGCCCTCAGCGAAACTAAATCATACCCTCCCTACAGCCATCTCAGCGAATCACGAGAGAAGGAGGACAGTGCAGGGTCATTGTAGGAGGTGTCTCCTTGCGTTAATGATTCAGTGGAGTCACATGGGTGAAGGATTAACCCAGCAGCCCCTCCCATTGTTTCGACTGACTTGGACTTCTGCATGCAGGAAAAGAGTTTGTCAAGAAAGTTTATTTAATGGAACACTGGAACATACTTCTACCTCTGAGGGGAATCAACCATTTCTAAATGATTCAGAACATTTTCCTCAATTTTGATTTGAATGTTTTTGTTTTTTTTCCAGTCATTTTTGCAACTTATCTGTTTATGAAACTAGTTCTTAGAACTTCTTACTTTCATATTGTTGCTTCTGACTTAAGCTTAGAAGTTTGACTTTGCCCTACATGTCAAGGAGCAACAATCATTTACAGATATGTCCACATGATTTTGTTTGAATAGGCTTTTAATGTTTATTTGAACTGAAAATGAATTTAGAGAAATCAGTTTAGCAAAAGAAAAGAAAAATAAATCAAGCACACTATCTTATTAAATTATATTTATAATATTCAGAGTAAATTAGTGCAGAAGGGAGATTTTTGAGAGCACACAGTCCTGATTAGGACCTGGTGTGTGTACAAAGAGCCATTGTTAGAGACTGTCCCTACTTTCAGTAGAGACACGATCTTTTAGTGTGAGAAAAATCTCAACCCTATTCATAAAGCGAGACTATAATGAAACMTGCCTCCCCTCCCTCAACAGCGCAATAAAGTGGGAGGAACAGAAAAGGTTTAAAAGAACTTACACTCACTCAAACTTACATCAACGCACACACGCATTCACACACTCAAAGATTGTTTTCATTGGTTGATTTTCTGTTCACTTAAACTAGAGCTATTTTGCAATACATGCTACAAATTTACAAAAGCTACGAACATAAGTAACTTTAAAACACTGAACATTAAAAACTGGCACTGTTTCCGTAAATAAGTTAAAACTGGGGATTAAAAGAAACKTGTGGACGTTGTTCTCTTTTCACATAAAACTGCCTAATAACCAGTGTTCACCATCTTAGATTTCAACAGCATAACAACACCGAAACTGTGTGTTTATGTGCATGTTTCAGTGGTAGGAATGCCAATTAAAACATTTGAAAACATTCCTCCCTGTGGCTGTGTTTGCAAATGTACTTAAGGGTTTCCAGGACCTGATCAAGGCTCAGTTTTATCAAGAAAACGTGGTGCAAAGTGATAAGGGACTAAGTCGCCAGGCAAGCTTTCAGGAGACTATAAATCATGCAGTTTAAGAGGCTGAGAGAAATTTGAAGCTGACACAGATCTCGAAAACGGCGGTGTTATGGAGGCTGAGGGAAGTGTTTTAAAGTGGGGTTTAAAAAAGAATTACAGAAGGCTGTAGAGCAGGGCTAGATGTTAAGTTATGTTTTCATTATAAAAGAACAAAGATACACAAAAAGGTCACTTGTTTTGCCCAAATAACACTACAACAAACAGATACCCCGTTTAGTCTCACATTAAATAGACATCTTTCAATTTAATTTTAGATTCATTACATATAAAAATCTGTTCTCAGTTTTTTTAATTACTGGCAATTTTCTTGTTCTGTATGTACAGCAAGGCTATTCAACTAAATTACTCCGGGGGCCACAGTTACTGCAGGTCAACAGCTCAGGGGCCGAACATCCAGCATTTGAAGTTGTTATGTAAATAAACCAAGTATTACAAAGATTTGTTACCTTTGTAATAGTTYATTTTTGCTGTATTCAAACATGAATACAACATACAGAACCCTATAAAAGTAGTGATAATTATTAATATTGAAAACAAAAAGGACACATTATGCCTCCTATTTGACACAAATATTATTTTGACATCTCTGACTTGCCAAAWTTTTAAACCAATTTTATTTYCACTTTCATAGTTTTATCAACTCCTTGTAGTTTTAACTGTCTTCAGTGTGCAAAGAAATGTTTTTTTTTACCGGATTCTAGCCAAGATTCTGATGTTTCTGTAGATACCAAAACATTTCTATGTTTAACTAAAAGAACTTATAGTAATTAAAGTAGAAAACCAGGGGTTTGGACTTAAGCGATGAATGAATCAATTGGCGGGCCGAACTCTGGTCACTCGCGGGCCGGATGTGGTCCACGGGCCGCCAGTTGAATAACCCTGCTGTAGAGCAAAGAGCTTTGATGTGAGAGAAAACAGTAGGAAAACAAATCTACATTTCTAATGGTGAGAAAAAAGGCACTTCACATTTAAAACTCATTTACCAATGTAAATACGCCACTTAACTGGAAATTAAATAAAACTTAAAAACAATTTTGAAATTTTACATACAATTGCTAAAATACGTATATTTTTCACAAAAAAATACTACACAAACTGAGAACATACAGAACGACAAAACAAGGGTTGATCCTTTTTTATTTATATATGTTTTGCTTAGATTTTTAACTGAGTTACGACCTTGACATTTTCAAAATAAAAGTTTGAGCTTTAGAAACACAAATAATAAAAAATAAATATATAATAATAAAGATATATTCTTCTAAAGACAGATTTTTTTTTCAAGAATTTAGATTTTACAGAGTCCAGTTAGTTCTGTTTTGAAAGTATCACTTATTATAGTACTACTGTTAAAGACTGTGAACTGAAAAGTGAAAGGCAGGGCCTTGTTGTTGAGGTTGCTCTCTGCTTTGTAACACTAAGCTGCCATTGTGTTTTAGACATCTTACAAAGAAGAAAACACACCCTGCAAAAACATAGAAAAACACTCCCATATGAGTGAATTCGAGCCTTTGCATCACAGCAGCAGAGTAAATACCCTTCTCCAACCCGGTGTGGATGTGTACACCCCTAAACGAGAAAAGCAAGAGGATAAACATCCTGCTAACACCACGTATACTGAAAACTTTTGTAGACTAATGTGCTGATATTCATTTCCACTTTTGTTGAAATAATATTAGAGAAAGAGAAGTTTGATTTTATTGTAATATAACAGGTGTGTGAGTTTATAGACCCCGACAGTAACAAAGCATTGATTTATGACCAGATTTTGGTCTCCTAAGGAGTTATGGGTTAAATAGTGCATTTATCCTGAATATAGTCCCTGTGAGGTGACAATACGTGTTAGGATGGCACTAGTTCTACTGACATCTATGAAGAGTAAACAAAAATATATTGTCTGAATGTTTTAAATATGTAGCATGTTTTGACCCTGTATGTATCGGAGCAATTTAGAAACCATCTCAAAGAGAGAACCCTGTAGGCACAGATATCTCATTTCTAGATCCTTTCTTTATTAAATTTTCTCCTAAATGAATGTGGATATTCCCACTAAGTCACCGGCAGCCAGAAGAGAAACTATGACACGAACCAAGTATTGTTTTGTGTTTTCATTCTTTCTGTAGTGTATGCTGCACATTTAATCAGTCTTTTCAAGACAACAGAAACTGAAAACTGTACAARAACAAGGTGTGAAATGTTTKTTCCTTGTCACAGTTTGTACTGTGCCCCAGATCAAGTAGAAAATATAATCATTTACAAAGTTTCACACTCAGACAACTGTTRTCTGACTGTAATGTAGTGTTGTGGGTCCATTTAAAGCAGTGGTGCTCAATCCTGGTCCTCAAGGACCCCTACCCTGCATGTTTTAGTTGTTTCCTTGCTCTGCAGTAAGTCTTTGAGTTCTGCAGAAGCCTGCCAATCACTCATTGATTTAAATCAGGTGTGCCRGASCAGGGAAACAACTAAAACATGCARGGTAGGGGGTCCTTGAGGACCARKATTGACYGTTWAAAAATGTAAGTGCAAAAATACCTCTAACTTCCAACCCCCTTTTTCGTCTTACCTTGTAGCTGCAGCTGTTCCAGGGCAAGCGTCTCCAGTGTGCAGTTACAAAACTCCAGATTCTCCAAAGTTTGTAAGCGGACTGTCTCGTCTTCCTCTTCCTCTAACATTGCCCTGAGCTCCTCCACAGTGCATGCATATTCCTCCATCTCGTTCTCCACTTCTTGCAACCGTAGCAACACCCGGTAGTTCTCCTCCTCTTCCTTCTGTCGCTCACGTTCCAACTCAGTCTCCCTGTCCAGCTCTTGCTCTRCATCCAGTGGGTCMTGAATTTCATGTTCATGAGTGGGCGTTGGGTCGACAAATTCAACCCGACCCTCATTAGGAACAGTTGTGGCTGGTTCATCAGGAGCGTAAAAGATGGGATTGTTGTCGGGGGTGTTGCTGGATGGACGAGCGGCATTTTGTCTCGGACATCGAGGAGGGGGGCGTGGAGCAGGACGAGTTGGTTTGTGCGGAGCAGGGGCTGGGGGTCGCAGGACTCGAGGACGAGGGGGAGGAGGGCGAAGGTTTCTGCGTCTCTCCAAAGAGGAGGTCTTGGAGTTTGGCACAGGAGAATGTGAGGAGCCGCGAATGATGTCGTTTTCGTCGCTGTATTTGAGTATAGAAAAGTGCCGGGAGATGGGGGACTGCGAGTTCAGATCAGCTGAGGACGGCATGTCTGTGGAAGCACCGGAGCTCATGTTAGTGTCGCTGTAGGAAGATATCAGGCTTTTCTCAAATTCGAAAAGCTGCTGGGACAACTTGGCTTCCAGGTCACTGGCTGAAGCTGCGAGGGCTTCTAAGGTGAAGGATGCTGGCAGAACCCCATTAGCCCCTCGACTTCTCTGCTGAGGATGTGGCCGTGCTTCAACACTCCGCTTCAAACTAGCATCACTCAAACTACAATGACGAGTTAGCCTTTGTTGTTTATGGCCCTCTACAATGGTATTCAAAGCTTGGCTAAGACTGGGTGGTTTAATRTTGGTGGAGGTACTGTCTGTTGCTGGTCTCTGTGAATATGCCTTATCTTTGGACCAACCAGATTGAGAACTGTGGAGCATAAGGCTTTGAGTTCGTCTAGGCTGCACTGGTCGARCATTACCGTTAGTGTAGTTGGACTGATTTCCACTGGACCTTTGGTCTACTTGTTGTCTCTGGTGAGGTGCAGGCGGGCTAAGCCGAGGTGGGAATCTAGGTCTGGCTGGTGGAGTGGATTTGCGTCTGGGAATGTGAGATGGAGGGGTAGGTCTAGGAGGCTGAGATTCAGTTCTGGTAACCTCTTTTCTTTGCTCTCTCTGAACATTCTGATCCATATCGCTTTTATGTTCACAGTGCCACCTTTGCTCTTCAGTCCTTTCAAAGTAGTCCAGGTCCCATACAGTATGATCCTCGCACACCCTCCATTCAGGATCATTCTCTGAATCATTTGGACATTTGTGATTAGCGTTTTGTTCAATACATTCRTTCTCCATCACAGCTTCAGGTCCAACTACAGTAATTTCCTCTGCAGTTTTCTGTTCTTTAGCTTCAATTTTTACAAAACGATGAGGAAAGATACCCCGTTGCCCTCGCAGCTCCCCCTCCAGCCAACCATCTTCCAAAGTGTTTACTATACGAATGCGATCTCCCACATCAAAGTCCAACTCGCCTGGCTCCATGGCACGAAATTCATAAAGTGCCACTCCATAGACGCCATCCTCATCCTCATGCTCTTCCTGTACTAGAACTTCCTTTTGTTGTTCTTCTTCTCCCAGAAAAACTTCACCATCCTCCATCCCTTCCTCCTCAGCCGCTTCTCCCTCATCATAAGCATCTTGGTAGATCAACTGCTGAGGGTTATTATTTAAATACTGACAGTCCACTGGCTCCTGAGGAGATCTGAGAGGAGCTAAGAGTTCCACAAACCCCTCAGGRAAGATGCCTCTTCGGCCCTCTAACTCTCCCTGGAACCAGCCTGGCTCAGGCAACCCCGTGATCATGATCAAGTCCCCCTCCCRAAAATCTAGCTCTTCATTCAGCTGTGCATGGAGGCTCATAAGCGCCCGGGCTTGGCCTAAAGCATAGGGTGGGAGCTCCAAAGCCTGAGCCAGAGCCGAGCGCTCAGACAGCTGCCGTGAGCGACCGGACAGGTTCAGTTCCTTCACACATGATGTGGGGAAGAGACCRCGGACACCCCAGGCATTACATCCACGTTGCCAGGCTTCCCCGAGGTTCACGGACCCTCCTGCGTCTCCCACTACCACATCACCTAGAGATAAAACAAACCCAAAGGGAACTCCTTTTAAATATGCAAGTAATATGAATTTCACTGAGTAGTAAAAAGAGCTCTAAATTAAGCTGAAATTTAATCAAAGCTCATGTAAGATTACAAGTGTTTTAAAGTATTTAGCGTTACTGTGTTTAAGACAACTTTACATATTACTATATGTAGAGAGTAAAGGATAAAAGGAATGTTGTCTGGTCAGCCACAAGTCAGGAGGGTCACATTCCAAAGACCTGCAGCTCCACCTCCCATTGTGTCTGAGACCGAAACTGGAATTAAGCCAATAGCCATAGGAAACACACTGGATGGACAATAATGACTGKTTGTAATGTATCCTCTGATGTGGGAAGTACTGTTTGCTAACAACACACTCAAATGTTGGACTTAGTGTTCTTGAATGGATGTGGGCAAAATAAAAGGTGTAAGAAGTGATGAAAACACGATGAACACACAAGGGATGAATTGGTTATCATTTGCATAATTTACAACTGCAAATGCTTCATGTTTTGACATAACAGGGATTAGTTAGAATTATGGGAAAATGTAGCTAAAAATCAGAATCAATAACTAAAACTAACACTGGGTTTGTCAGCTACTGCTACACTAAGAGTAACAGCTTTCTAGTAAAGCCTAAAGATAAATTAGACATATTTTACTGATATACAGTATCAGCTCTCTAAACATTTTGCTGTATGAATTTAAAAAAAATCTAAATCAGTCACCATGAGAGAAAATTTAGTTAGAAAAGACAATAACAACTCAGATAAATGGTTTAAGCTTGACCTCTGAGGACATCTTGTGGGGACTTAACACTGTGCAGYTGAACACTGAATGTCCCTTGAGGAAGTTAGCAAAAACTTTTCTAATCATCAAATGCATTCAACTTCAATTGGAACTATTATTGTAGATATTTTCTCTCACAGTTCTTTTTTCCTACAGTATTTAATGCCACTGAATAAAGAGAAATAACAGTAATTTTATGTAATCTTTCAGGCTTTTTCCTACCCCTCATCTTTGTGGCAGTGGAAAACAAAGGCATCAGCCCAATTTGACTGACAGGTCGCAGAGTTCAGTACAACACAAAACAGCACAAAGCAACTAGTTTACCTGAATACTTTTAACATCAACAAGGAGCGTTAAGCTAAGTGAGAAAACATGAGCTGTTAGAGATGGCAGCAGTATGGTTAGAAACAAAATCAATGGTTCAGACATCATGTTAAATTAAGGATTTCATACAAGAGCATTAAGTTTGACTGCACCTGTCTTAAGGGGCAGAGTCCCCAACTCTGCTGAACTGAAATCATTGATGCACACATACAGTCTGTCTCCAGGCTTGGTGGTGGGGATGGTGACCTCTTCCACAAAGGTGCTGGGGAACTGGCCTAAAGACAGAAAGTGAATAAACTTAATTTCCTAAAATGTTAATAAATTTCTACATCATAAAATACTTCTGTTTCCTCAAGATGATGACATCATTTGAACCACCCATGCTCCTCCTATACCTACTGGTAAAACATACAGTATATTCATTATCCCTCAAACCAGGGGAGAAGTTAGAAATTTGAATGTTAGATTTAATCTAATTACTCCACATAAAATACCATGTTGTTACAGCTGTCAAATAGAGCTGATTTAAAAGACACAAAGCACTGTCTTAGGCCGGCGTCACACTACAAGAAAATCATGCAGATTTTTGCCCTTCTGACAAYCTTAAGGAAGTCCAGATTATCGTGATGGCTCTAAAGATAATCATAGCAGATATTCCCACCGTGGGTGGTGAGTTAAGAGTGATCTAGTCGACTCGGAAGGACGTCGGGACCGCTCCGACCTCAAATCGGGGATATTCAACATGTTTGATTTGTTGGCCCGATATCACAGTGTGTGTAGTGTTCACCCGAGCTCTCAGCCTGATGAATGAGACGTGTAGCCAATCAGAAAGCGAGGTGACGTAAACATGGAGGGGATTCCAAAATAGAGAAGCCAAAAAAAAACTGTCATGACTCAGCAGAAAGTCTGCTGGATGTTAAAAGTCCTTTGGAATTGTTTTTCCTCTGGTAAAAATAGTCCACAAACGATCAACATTGTTTCTTCCTCATCACAAATGTTTATTTACTCTGAACTCGTGTCTCTCTGGAGGTCACGAGATTTTTCCTTGGACATCTGAATTCTCGYGAGATTTCAGGAAATCTCACGTGATTTAACATCTGACATCTGAATGTTCATGAATGAAATATCTTTTCGTGTGTGGTGTGTTGTCTCTTGCCGTGTGGCTGTACACCACACACTGTAGGACCAAACCTGGTATATCCATGATCCTCACATGTGGGCTCACTCAGTCTTTGAAAATCTGCCGACTGCTTTAAAATCTTGTAGTGTGACGCAGGCCTTAATGGAGAGTCTTTATAGTAACTGGTACTTGTAATTATAAACTCATCTTCAATAGATCCATCTTGACATCCTGTCTTGTACCAATACTAGCTTTTCCTTTCCAAAGAATGCATGTGCTGACACCATCAGTGTATTTCCATGAACCAGATAAATAATTCCAGACTTCCCCTCTCAGGGAATCCCCATTTCTTACTCATACTCTTATTTTTGGAAAATTTTGTTGAAAACCTTTTTATGGTTTTAATGTTTTCTTCCTACTTATTAAATCTTTAGAAAATAACATTAAGCAGAATACTGTTCTGATGTGTTTGATTACTTAATTGTGATCTTAGAACACAAAAATTCCTTCATTTCCACACTCTTACTCTATAAGCAACACAGTGTGAAAGGGCTGTAAAAAATCTTTGAGAAAGTAAAGAAACCAGTTATTAGAAAGCACAGCTTTACTCCAACATGCTGTATTATAAGTACAAATACAGCAGATCTTCTGTCTATAGAACTCTTAAGATAGAATCTCTTTTGGTCTTAATAAAAACTAATTAATAGCCAACGTTGGCTGGTTTAGATTTGTAATGACCACTGTTACCTGTGACGCCATCTTTATTACCGAGCAACCAGAACTCATCCACAACACTGATCACTTCGATGACTTCGCCGGCAAAAAGCGGGAGCTCCTCGGAGACGCTGGGGAGGAACTCAAACAAGGCGCGCACCACCGATCCTGGTTCCATTCTTCATAGCCTGCAGAGGGCGACAGAGGCACAGTTCTGTTTGACAGGAAAATGTATGAACAGAATGTTACACAGGACTGCAACACGAACAAAACCATAACAGAAAGGTGCAAAAGTTATTTTCAATGTGCTGACRTATTTAAAGTCTTAACTATGCAAATCAACAAATGCCAGAGAGAGAGAGTAAGCTTTTGTGTAAAAAAAAGCATCTATTGGGAGGGGTAGCAAGAGCGTGAGAAATTTGGGACAGGGAGGAGATAGAAGAGCGGGAGGGAAAAAAGAGCTCCTTTTAAGACAGAGTACATTCCTCAAGCCTGAGGACAAAAGTATCTGAGGAAAAATACAGCATCTTCAACAGAAACTGTGTATCTTTAGTGAAGGAACATATTACTGTTTGTAATAACACCACAATCATATAAATCAAGTAGATTATCTTGTGACAGTATTTCCTCACATTAAGGTCGGCCAAAACATACACCACAAAGTATCAGTTCAATCACAAGTCAGTGATGAACTTATGTTCAGCATATCACATCACTGAAAGTCTTACCTAAATTATTTATGTTCAGCACTTCATAATTTACACACATGCGCAAGAAAAGTATTTAACCTGCTCTTGTGTATTGATACCTGAAGACAAAATAATCACAGGTAGAGATAGAGAAGATTATGAAAGAGGGAAACGGCTGGGGCAAAAAGCGGGAAAGAAACAAGACTCTGGACCAGTTCAGCGACACCATCTCTGGGGAGAAACAAGGCTCAGGTGACCCTGCGTACAGATACAAGTACAGATGAGCAGCAGTGAAAAAGGAGAGCTGACGAGTTTTTGAGCCTGCTTGCTTCGTAGAGGTGAACCAGAGGCACTTTGCTTAACAAAAAAAGCAGGTGAACGCTTCACCGCACAGCAAAACCACAACGAAACCCAAGCCGGGGTTATAAGCATTTTAAGGCAGGGGGTTGTGCAAACAGAGACCAAAAACGCAGTTAAAAATTTGTACAAACGAGCTTGTTTATATAGCAGACAAGACATATTTTATTATTGTTGTTTTATTCAGAAATCGAACACAATGGTCAAATTTTCTGCTCATCTGAAAATCAGGTCAAACAGTTGMTGCATCTCAAGAACCGTGGCTGAATTACGTGTTTCAACATGCAATTTCAAGGATTTTATTTTAGGTTTTTTTTTTTTTTTTATGAACACTGTGATAGAAATCTCTCCTCCCAGGATGTCTCAATATCTAAGAGTAAAACCACCTGACTTCTGCACTRGGATCTGCACTGTTCCACTGAAACCTTCTTGCAGTTAATCCTCAGGCCTGCGTGCAGCCAGACAAACTTCTTAACCTTATTTCTGGGTTCGTCGGTGTGTCTGCAGGCTCAGTGCTTAATGACTTTTACCTTGTGCTCTCGCAGTTGACCCTGCGAGCTGCTACAGAAAGAAGTGTGTCATGGCAGTTTTCCAGGGAAATTGTAAAAATGGTTTAATTTAGCATGTGTGAAATAATGCCAAAATCTGTAATATTGCAAAGCATAATTTCTATTTTAATGCAAATATTTATGATACTTTTCATCACCACAATGCTCATCATTAAGGTACAAGGGGCATAACACGCAAAACAAGGTTTCATTGAAAAGGTTGACAGGTGTGGCACTTCTGTTATGATTCAAAAGGTCTTTCCTGATAAGCAGTGGGACTTCACTTACTGTAGACAAATAAAAACTTATATTAGCTCCTGACTGCAGGGCCATATAGACAGCAAAATTCTGTTTAACTCTTTAAAAACTATTCTGCAAAAAACAACACTTTAAGGAAACTAGGGCTGCCACAAACGATTATTTTAATAATCGATTAATCACCGATTATTTATTCGATTAGTCGACTAATCGGATCGTACGTTAATTGAATATAAAACATACAGCTTATCACGTCAGAATGCAGCTGCTATTGTATAACCATCGTTAGATTTTAGCAATATGCTAACTGAAAATAATTGCTGTGGAAGGCAAGTTCTGCTCTGCAGATATTGACAGGTTTCTCTTTCATTTTCTTAAAACGATCCCACACTTTTGAGCTCCGTTGTCAGGTAGCCATGATACCAGAGCCTGTCTGTATAATGTCTTGTGACGTCCACGGCCTACCCCAGTTACCACTACTGTGCATGTGTGTCAAGGACGGAAAGGCAGATGTGGCAGTGGAAGGTGTCAAAGCAGTTTGGAGAGAAAAACAAAGTAAAGAACAACAACAAAAAAGAAAACGATTAATCGATTATTAAATTAGTCATCGATTATTTTAATAATCGATTAGTCGTCGATTAATCGATTAATCGTGGCAGCCCTAAAGGAAACACAGTACAGCAGTGATGACCTTTTAGATAAAGATGCTAAAGAAACATTTACAGTAGAGTAGGACACAACAGGTTAACAGTCAGAGGCTAACACACACAACCAAACATTCACTGTATACACACACCTGAAACATGACTCTGAGGCATCATCACTTTTTAATAAACCATGCATGCGTGCTTAAATAGCACTATTTTTACTGCAATGTAGCAAAACCAGGAGGAAGTTTGTTCTAAACACTTCCACTGTTATAAGAGCAACACTTTAAGTAAAAATACTGCAATTAGTACAATAAGTCTATACAGGCCTAGTTAATGCAAATTTAAGAAATCTGAGAATTCTGTTGTTAGTAAACACTGGTTATATTGCAGCACTTGAAAATGGAACACACAAGTGGAACTACTTCTGAAAAATAATATTGAGCATGTTTAAAACCCAAATCGGGGGAAAAAAGAAAGAAAAAGAACTGAACTTTTATTCTGAAGCTGAAAGTTTTTTTTTTGTTCTTTACTTTTTTGGATTGATTTGGATGACTGAGAATCTGTGATTTATTGCTCAACTCAAATCACAGATTCTCAGTCATCCAAATCAATCCAAAAAAGTAAAGAACAAAAAAAAAGTTCAGCTTCAGAATAATAATTGTGTAGTTGTAGATCAGCCCTTTTGTGCTAAATATTTTAAACAAAATAAGACGTTTTGAGTTCTGAATCATCTCGACTCTTCTTGACATGCACACGTACAGTTGAGTGTGTGATAAAACACTGCGACAGTGTGAGAAGGAATGGAGGAAGTGGTATCTGCTGACTGGCTGTATCTCCTGTCGAGTTTAGTCTGGCACAAACAATAAAGCTGTGGCTTCATGTTCTGTCTGCCTGCCGGGACAAGGCTCGCACCGACCCACAACCTCTGCACCATTCAACCTATCCACATCCATCGAAGTGGCAGAACGACACGTGGCTGTGTGTGGACATCCACACAAACACTGGGAGAATCCTCTGGAGTGAGCTGAATGGCAGCTGATGTCTTTTGATAGCAACTGTTTACCGTGAACTCCCATCCACAATAACACAATCACCTTGAAACAACGTAACCCTGTGGACAACAGGAGGACAGTTCTAGATATCAGAGACTGTGTGACTTCTGTTGCATCTCTTTTGACAGTTTCAGCACATGTGAATGATGAGGTGCGGATGGGGAGGGGGAGAATGAGAGCATTGCAACATGCTGACAGCTGTCAACACTCATGTCCTGTGGTTTTTATGACCAAATGTTTGTGCCACAGAAATGCACTGAGGCGGAACGACATAAGCCATTTAGATATTGAGTTATGTCTTCATTATAACAGAACAAAGATACGCAATAAGGTCACTTGTTAAATAATAACACTACAATAAACAAATACCCAGTTTAGTCTCACATAAGATAGACATCTTTCAATTTCATTTTAGATTCATAACATATAAAAACATGTTCAATTTTTTTAATTATTGGCAATTTTCTTGTACTGTATGTACAGCAGGGCTATTCAAATAAATTACTCCAGTTGCTCCAGTTACTGCAGGTCAACAGCTCAGGGGCCGAACATCCAGCAATTAAAGTTATTATGCAAACAAACCAAGTATTACACAGATCTGTTACCTTTGAAATACTGTAGTTTCTTTTGCTGCATTTAATCATGAATACAACAAACAGAAACCTTTAAAAGTGATAATTAAACAATAATAAAAAACAAAAACATCACATTATGACTCCTATTTAACACAAATATTATTTTGACATCTCTGACTTGCGAAATTTTTAAACCAATTTTATTTTCACTAACAGTTTTATCTTCAATTTCTTGTAATTTTAACTGTTTTGGGTGTTCATTGAAATGGTTTTTACCAGCTTCTAGCCAAGATTCTGACGTTTCTGTAGATATTAAACATATCCCTGTGTAACTAAAACAACTTAAGAGTAATTAAAGTAGAAAACTGAGAGTTTGGTTGTAAGAGATGAATGAAGCAATTGGCGGGCCGAACTTTGGTCACTCGCGAGCCGGATGTGGCCCACAGGCTGCCAGTTGAATAGCCCTGATGTACAGTATATTCAACTGCATTTATCAAATCCTGCAATTATATGACCACTTTAATTCTTGACATTACCAAATTCTTAAGCAGACACATGATAATTGATGATTAAAGGGAGGGTGTTATATTTTCCAGGCACACAATCAAGTAACGATGTTACCTTCAGTTATTATGAAAATGGATATCAAAAGTAAAATTGACATTACATCATAGCCTATTTAAATACCTTGAAAGTGACCTCTGTCTTTTTAAGAACCTCCTACTGTTTCCAACAATCCAACTTTCAGGGAGGGGTGCTCTGTGGGGCCATAGCTCAGCTGCAGGCTGAGCTCCAGGGCGGAGCTTTGTGTAAAGAGGCGGTGCTTTGTACCAGCGAGCATTTAGGCAGCTCCACATGGCTGACACAGGAGATTCAAGGGTTTCTCAAACATGCTAACAATTTTTAATTTTGACCTCTTCATTCCAAAATAGAAAATTTGGACTGACAGGAAATCATACAAAAATCATGCTGCTGTTTGAGAATTCTGTTACTATAATATTTAATGCGTAAATAACTAAATCTTTGTCAAATAGCTTCAGTTAAAAAAATGAATGTACA